GTCTTTTGTAACTTGTCTAATTTAATTTCACGAACTATTCTAAATAGTTTAAATTATATTAGAATAATTTGTTTTTCACATATGTTGTTCAGGATAACTTTTATCAGCTACCAAAGGGACCCATATGGAAATGTTTAATAACATGCTTTAATGTATTCAACTATGTATCCCTTTATCTTATGAATGTAAGGTACTGAATGCGTTAGCGTTCTTTGACTCCACCACAAGGACAATGCTACACTCCTGAATTAAACATTCTATTTATCAGAAACTTTAATAATTTAATCTGATTAAATTATTTCATTAAAGCCTATCCATTTAGCGACAACTACATATTTACCCTCATGGAATACCGATAATTGGAACTAGGTCACTAAACCGATATACCCTTCTAGTTACATCTTTTCCTTGCAACCAGTTTTACTCCCACTGGATGGTAAATGTTTCTGAACACTTTATCAAATGTTGGCCAAGTCTCATCATTTAGGACCCGGTAAAACCCACAAGGTGGTATCCCTTAAACCTTTTGAGGTTATAAATTCCATATCTATGGAATAGTGTTCTCGAACCCATATAGTCACAATCCCAATCAACCAGGGTATTAATCTGTTAAATAACAGAATCTCACCTTTTACTCTAATCAAAGATCGTAACCTACAAATCAAAGGTACACTACCTACTTAGGAATAAGGTACATATGCCTAAGCACTAAGGTGTGAAATTTATGTCTATTCTGTTACGATAGTTACGTAGAATTACTAACTTCACTTGGTCCAGTTCAATACATATCGAATGCACAAGTGTCTCTGCCCTAAAATCCTCAATTCAGTGATTCGAGATTCATCACCCCCACAGAGGCAAACAATAGAACAACTTTATAAGAACAGTGCCTAGCTCTTGTTTTATAGTTGTGAACATAATTTCGAGTTACAATAAAATCTCGTATCTCCCATATATGACTGAAAGATTTTGGATCTTGAATGAATTAGGAAGTTGATAGGACTTTGAATCCTATTTTGAAATGAAAATGGGCAGGAGCCTAAGTGGACTTGTGACTAGGCCCAACTTGTAGAATGGCCTTGATCGTAGAGGAACCCAATCTGTGAAATGGGCTGACTTGTAGAAGGGCGTAGGCCCACTCAAGATTGAGGCATGGCACTAGGCCATGCATTGTTTGTTTCTTATTTGGACCTAACAAGGCCCGTTTAGGGGTGTATACGAGTCGAGCCTAGTTGAGTATTTGGACACTCGAGCTCAGTTCATGATGAATAGTATCGAGTTTGAACTGAGCTTGTTCGAGCTTGAATACTTGGGCTCAAGCTCGAGCTTGCGAGTATGGGTGGGTACTCGAGCTCGAGCTTCAAGTTTATTATGAGAAAGAGGCTGTTTTTCATTTTAAAAACTTGAAAATAAAAAAAAGTTACAAAACTTGCAATTTGGCCCTTCAAGTGCTATGAGGCTCGCCAACCTATCAAGCCGAGCTTCGCCCGAATCAAACTCGAGTCGACCCTCTAAACGAGCCACTCGAGCTTGAGCTTGACTCGATTGACTTCAAATCGAGTGTGACCTTTCAGGAGTCGAACTTGAGTAGCCTGCGAACTGCTTAACTCGCTTCTCATTCCTAGGCCTGTTACGATTTTTGGCCCATACAATAATTTTTATATAATCAATATTATGTAGTAACATACATTCATAAAATGTCTTTAACCAATTAAATTAATTTAACTTAGGACATCTAAGGGTTTGAGTCAAAGCTAAGTTCATTTTGAAATGTTTATTATACCCTTTTATCCATCTTTGAGGGAGAATGACATTTTCCCACCCAAGGTATGGCGAAATGACACTTTCGCACCCTTCAAGTTTCAAAATGACATTTTCCCACCATTCATTAGGTTCTGTTATGTTTTCTGTTAATATTTTATTGAAAAGACGAAAATACACTTAAATATTTGACTTCATAAATTTTTGATTATTTTTTAGATAGCCAAAAAGTCAAATATTAAAAAGACAATAATAATAATAATAATAATTAACCCCATCTAAAAAGTCATGAGTAATGTTATGGGATTGTTTAAAGTTAAAAGACTTTAATATTTATTTATTTATAATGTCATCAATATCTCATTACTATTATTCAATAATCTACTAAATTTATAATGTTTTTCATAATACATAATGTTTTTCATTTTTACTAATTAACATAGAAAATCAAAATTCTTAATTAATTAAATAAACAAAGGAAAAAATATATATTTACACTTGAACTAATGAATAATCGAGAGTAAAAACTTTAACTTAACTAAATTTTAATTTATAATAAACTAATTAAGAAATAAACTATTTAATAGTATTTTCATCTTTTCAGTTAAATATTAACTGAAAATATTAACAGAACCTGATGAAGGGTGAGAAAGTGTCATTTTGAAACTTGATGGATGGACAGGTGTCGCTTTGCCAAACCTTGGGTGGGAAAATGTTGTTCTCCCCATCTTTGATGGTAAAAAACAAGAGGGCAGGGTAGGGATTGGTGGAAAAAAACTATTTTGTTTTTTTTTTTTATTAACTTAGATAACTTTTGCTAACTTGTCTGATAACTGTATAGTATTTGATTATTGAAAAATTCTGAATGAATAAGACTGAATTGAGTATTTATGATATATTTATTTGCAAATTTTTAATATCTAATTATAATATTAAGTGTTTGTTTTCACAAATTTTAAATATCTGAAAACTAATATTTTTATATAGATATCCTTATCAATATTAAATATGATATATTTCTAAAGTTTGTAATACAAATCATGAATTTGATAGAATATAAAGAAAGTATTTAAATTTTAATAATTTTTACAGCACTCTTTCACGATAATATTGAATTTAGTTCAATTCAATTTCGTATAATTGAGTCGGTGGCAGCTACAGAATTATTCTTTTAATGAGGTGTCAGCTTGGTAAGTGGACGTATTGGACTTTTGCTCTGAAGGGCATCGTCATAAAAATAAAACCTTCGGTAAGCTTCTATGCTGGCGGCGCTGTGCCTTTCCTCTTTTTCTCTCCCAATTTTGGATTTCTTTTTTTCTTTTTCAGTTAAATTCTTGCTTGTTTTATAATTCAATGGCTACGACTTTAGTCTTTGTTGTTATCAAAAATAAATTCAGAAATTATTTTTAGTTATAAGTCTTTTATACTTACCAATTTTTTATTTTTCCTTTTTTAATCAACTTGAAAACACGTAGATTGGTTGATTAAGAGTTTTTTTCTTGTTAATACATCCTTAATTAAAACAAAATTTTATTTTTATTATAACGTTCTTTATTAATTTAAATATAAATTCAATCTATTAATAATATAAAAAAAAATAAAAGTAATAAATTTGATTGAACAAGTATACAAAGGATGTGATATATGGGTGTTACATTAGATTTTTTTAATCAAATCTATAAATTTTTATTGTTTTAATGTGTTTTTTTTTTAAGATACACATTAAGAACATCTAATTAAATAATTATATTATTATTATTTATAAAATTAGTAATCTATTTGAGTAAATAACTTAGGAAAAGAAAAGTAAAATAAATAGTTAAAATGGTCTAAAATTTAATATAATGAGCGGAGTTAAATCCATTTTGGTCCTTGACGTATGGTCCAAGTGCATATAAACCAATAGCATCTGATAGTAACACTTATGTACTTGTTAGATATCAGTTTTTTTTTTTTTTTTTAAATATCTTTGTAAATGTCTAAAATACCCTTAATTTTTTATTTGCTTATAATTCATGGAATTGTTTTAAATATTATCAGCAGCCCTTTTTTTTTTATATAATTTTAGAAAAGATTAGGGGTATTATAGACTTTTAGTTATAAGGATTGAAGTGTTATTATCATATTCTAGTGGACGGTAAAATTAATGGGGGCAAAGTGAATTTAAGTAATAATTAGGGTATAACCGAGCTGGGAAAGTAAAAGGTATTATTGGTGGTAGTGGTGGGAAAGCGCAGTAGTATTGAATTGCGAGTCCTCACCTAACCCCGGGCAAGTTCAAGTTGACTTCCCTTTCTCACTATTTTAACCTTCATTTACTATATCCTATTTCTATTCAAATTCAATAAAACCTAATATTAAAATCTGTATCAAAATTTTCTTCTTTCTTCTTATTCCTTTGACCAAACACTTTGAATTATTGTGATTAGAAAATATATATTTATTCCTTTAAATAATATATATTGTTTTCTTTTGTGAAACATTTTAAATTTGTAAAATAAAAGTTTCTATGTTATTATAAATGGATTGAAGTGTATGTATGGAGTAGGAAAATGAAATTCTTTTGAAGAAAAGAAAAAAGAAAACAAAGTGGTGGCTTTGAAAAATGGGGAAAAAGGTTTCAGCGGAAAAGGACGTAAGGAGAAAGAGAAAGAGGTTGGAATGATCTGAACGTCACGCTTCTTCTCTCTTAAAATAAAGATAAAATTACTTCTTAAAAAGCTCAAAATTCAAGGTGAACTCCATTTCTTTTATTTTTATTTTTATTTTTATCGAAATTCATATCTGTTTCTTTCTAGTTTCTACCAGTATAATATAAAAATATTTTAATATTAGTTTCGTGTACACCCATTTATACTAATACACCAACAACTCATAATCAATCAATCAAAAACCCTCCCCCAAAAAAAAAAAAAATATATATATATATATAAAAATAAAAAAGTCAAAAAAGGATTCAATATTTATCTTCAAACAACTCTTACTGCTTAGGTTTTTGTTTCTTGAGCTCTTCTCTCAATTTCAGCTTAATTTTGGTAAATTCAGTGTTCTAAGTTCACTTTATTTTTACTGAATTACTCTTTCTTTCTTTCCAAATTTATGGTGAAAAAAGTTACTAAAACTACTTGAGCCTTTAGGTTTGAAGGCTATTTTTTGTTTTTTGTTTTCTGTTTGGTGTTCTGCTGATTTCTTATTATCAAAAGCTGTTTACTTTGTGTCTGTGATTTGGTTGTTATATTTGATTTGTAAACTTAGTAGGTATAATATTTTTGGTTAGTTTGATAAGTTGTTGGGGGTGTGTTTGGGTTTTATTGTTATGTAAAGTTTTGGTGATGATGGTTTATTCATGGGTAGTAGAACAGTAAATAGTGGAGCTCAAATTAGTAAAAAAGGCGTTAACGGGATGCCCAGCTACGGTCCTCCAGTTCCAACTTCTAATCAAATGTAAATTCTTTCTTCTGAGTCACTTTTCTAAAGCTTTTGTTTTTGCCTTTGTCTCTTTTATTAGTTTTTGACTTGTTCATGACGTTACTAGAAGGTTTTTCTATCTGGGTAATTTGATTATGTGAATTATGTGGTTCCTAATGGAGTATAATAGTATTTCTAGTTTTATTTGAGAATTGTTTGTATGTGGAAGATAGTCAAATTCTGTTCTTTTTTCTCAAGGGATCCCAACATATTTATTCGGATTTTTGAGTTGCCAATACTAAAGTTTATATATTACTTTCGAGAATTCATTTTGTATATTCTCTTTGTCAAATTTCTGAATTATCAAGTCTCTTAAGATTGGAATCGTGTTTTACTGTGTTTAAACAATGCTTTCATGAGTAGAATGTTTGATGTCTGGTTTGATTTTTATGAAGAGCATGGGCAATGGGCTGTTCTATGATTGTTTTATTGTTTAAGCTGCTGGAAATATGACTAGGAAAGAACAAACTGCTTGTAATCTACTGTTCTAGTTGGCTATCTTCAAATAAGTTTTAACTTAACCTTGTGATTTCTTGTTGCCATAATTTGGGGATCAAACTTAATCAAAATCTGATCATGGATCGGGTAGTTTGGCCATTATGTATTTTAAATTGCCATGCTAAGCTTAAATATGCAAACGAATGCTGAAATTAAAGCTTTTATTCTAACGATTTTGTTAGAATGTAAAGATATATATCAGCCCATCATATGAGTTGAATAACTTAAGGCAATTTTTTAGCTTTTTTCTTTTAAAGTGAATTAGGGATTTAATTCCTGTTTTGATCAAGGACACGCTTCCACTTCATTATGTTCAGTTTCTGTATTGCATTGGTCCGTTTAGGTACTTAGGGACCTAATTAATTTTGACCTGCAGGGGCTCAGAAGCAAACACAGTTCATTCTCAAATTCCTGACTTTGGAACACTAGAGCAATCGCTTGGACTTCGCATAGAGGATGCTGTTGACCTTAGCAGAAGTATATAGTATTTTTTATTTAATAATAAAGTATTTATTATTATTATTATTATTATTATTATTATTTTGCTTTTATCTTTGATACAGCTATTTTAGCAATTTGTTGTGGTTGCTTCTTCAATTGCTAGGTTCACTTATTGACAGTCAGTATTTTAGGTGGAGGCTGCAATTTCATATTTGATTTATTGTCAATATTTTTGTACTCATTGATTTTACTATCTTCTAGGTAATGTACTTTATCAAATGAAGTCAAGTAGCCAGGCAGTAGGCACCGATGTCCAATTTGGCTCTGTGAATAAGGTGAACTTTTGGCTTCCCGACATTAATTTTATTATTCAAAAACTAATGAAATTTAAAGCTACCATCTCTCTCTCTCTCTGGAGTTTAGACACTTGCAACCTCATATATTAATCTGTTTGCTGCTATTGTGGGGTCTCAGTTTCTATCACTACAGAAAGAACTGCAATCAAATTTGGTTTCTGTACCTAGTGGTCATCCTGAGAACTGGGGAGAGTCCAATATGGCAGAAGCCAGTCCTAGAACTGATACCTCAACAGATGATACAGAAGATAAAAATCAAAGGGTGACCTCTCTTGCTTCTATATTTGAAAATATGTTGTTTTCTGGGAACAGTTAGTTGCTCTTATTCTTCTAAATTGAACTTCGTCTTACTTTTCTCTATTCCTCTACATTTTGTAACTTAAAAATAACTTCTGCTTTATTTTATTGGTAATCGAAATCAAAATATATATTTGAAAAAATGATTATCTTCATAAAATGATCTGACTGTTGGTTGTTGGTGGATCCTAATATTGCGTTTCTATTTGCAGTTTGAAAGGGGTCAATCGATGGCAGTTGCAGCCTCTGATTCGAGTGACAAATCAAAAGAAAAATCAGGGGATCAGAAGGTTGTACATGTTTAACTAATTCTATTCATATAACTTCATGTCAAATGATTATATACTCAATTTGATCATGTCTGTCCTATTGTTGTCTAGCAGACATTACGCAGGCTTGCTCAAAATCGTGAGGCTGCAAGGAAGAGCCGGTTAAGGAAAAAGGTCGCTCCTTTTAAAATTAGTTCTATCACCCTACTTTGACTTATGTATTGTGAAAGATATTGATATGAAATGTATAGACGGCATAGATGTTAGAGAGCTTATTTTCTTGTATTATTAGTTCTCTTTGCTATAAAGACATGGTTGGTATTATTTTTGCATACACCTCTATTAATTTTTTCCTCCTTTTTTTCTCCAGGCATATGTACAACAGCTGGAGAGCAGTCGGCTGAAGTTGACTCAACTTGAGCAAGAGCTGCAGCGGGCACGCCAGCAGGTTTGACTTATACCACAGAGAACTATCTTAAAGGTTCCATCATTTTTCCACTCTCCTTTAGACAGGATGCACTGTAGTTTAATGTTGGCTAATATTGTCACTGCAGGGCATATTTATTTCAAGTTCAGGAGATCAATCTCATTCAATGAGTGGAAATGGTATATAAAGCTATTTACCTCAACTTGTTTATGGTTTGTTAATTAAAGTATTGAAAGTTGATCTCAGTGATTATGTCTTGCAACTTGGGACTGGGTACTCACTATGTTGTATGGGATCTGTAAAGAAGTATTCAGAGTTGTTGCTTCCCTATGGAAATATTACTGGTCAATAATTACATTAGATCAAAATCTTTGTTGCACTGGACACAATATACAGTAAGCTTAAATGTGATCTGATATGATTTATGGATGCTGACATGCATACTACTTCTGCATAGTCCTTTATTTTTTATTTTTGTGGATATGTGCACCTAATACATTATCCTGGACAATGGTAGGAGGGATTTTCTTGTAGGTGTCATGGTGATTTGATGAATCACATGAATGTCCCTTTTGTTGCTATCAGACAAAAGGAAAAAATATGGCATGTCCCTTCAAATTTTACTCTATCAAACTTAGGTTTGATGGGATTATTTTTGTGTTAGGAGGTGCTGAAACACAAATGAGCCAGTATTATGCCTGCGTAATACTTGGATGTGGTGCAAGTTTTTGGTTTCTTTCTCAAAATTGTTCCAAAAACATCTTCACTTTGTTTTTGGAAGTTGATGGAAGGAAATGTTTTCCAACAAGGAGACGGATAAAATATAAGAAAGAAAAACAGTTAGTGATAGCAAGAGTCATCATTAAGTTGTGTTGTTCCTTCAATCCAAGTCACCTGTTTACTAGACATTGGGGCTTTAGGTTTTTAATGAATAGTAACACATGGTCTTATCAGATGGCTGTTGTTGGGACCTGAACATGTTAGCAATTGTTGGTTTATAGGCATGCTGTTGGATATCTATAGTGTGGAAACTCTGTGGTGACGTTGCAGTGTCTTTCTCTTGATGTTTTTGCTGACATGGTGGATAAAGTAAATTAGTGTTTTGTGTTTCCTATTGTGTCCGTTCTCTTGATTTCTGGGTAATATTTTATGCCCAGATTTTTACTTCAAAGCAGATCTTCCAATTTTATGTTGCTTGTCTTGTTGATACGTGGATGACCTACAGGTGCCTTGGCATTTGATGTTGAATATGCACGGTGGCTGGAAGAGCACAACAGGCAGATCAATGAGTTGAGAGCTGCAGTCAATTCTCATGCTGGTGACACTGAACTCCGCACTACTGTTGACAACGTTACAGCACAGTTTGATGACATTTTCAGGCTCAAAGGGATTGCTGCAAAAGCTGATATCTTCCATATCTTGTCTGGAATGTGGAAGACACCAGCAGAAAGGTGTTTTATGTGGATTGGTGGGTTCCGATCATCTGAGCTCCTCAAGGTTTGTGTGTCCCAGCTCCATTACAATGTCTGTTCTCTTGCGGCCGTTTTCTTTTTTCTTTCTTTAAATAAATAAAGTAATATGTTTTTTTTTTTGGGTTTGGAGGAGAGGCATAACACCATCAAGTGAAATCCTTCCATCAGTCTGAAAAAAATGTACATTTTAACTTAATTGATTACTTTTCCAATATGAATACATAGTTGAGGAATATAAGTTACTGCTCAGTATTTTAGTCATATATGACTTTGTTTAGACTTTTACTGCTCAATTTTTTGATGAAGAAACCATCTTATTTATGAGTGGTCCTGACTATGCTGGTTTACAGTCTGCTCAATTCAATAATAGAATCTTAGTTTTTCTTGGCATATACTTACGCCAAAGAATTTAAGGTTGAGGTACTGTATGTATATTAACATTGAAGATTCAACTTTTAAGTGGTTTGGGGAACACAAAATGCAATTAGTTGAGGGTTCTTGGTCTAGGTTGACTCTAGGATGGGGTTTTTAGTGAAGACATTAAGTCCATTTTTAAGGGCATACAAGAAAAATCCACTTCAACCGTGTGAGTCTTGAAATATATTCTCAAGTTTGTAATTGCAAAATTTTTGGGTTTGGTGGTAGCTAAACATAGTATTAAAGTTGACTAATGGATCTTACATTTGGATTCTTGGATTTATGAAACTATCATATGTGTTTGCATTTTTTTTTAGGTGGTTTGGAGTCTAGATATTTATCTGTGTCAAAAAAAAAAAAAAAAAAATGAATGTGGCTTTTGATCCACCTGCATTACATGAGGGAGAACCTTAGAGCTGAACTATTATGTCACAAGTTTCGCGTTAAATTTCTGGGATTCTTATAAAATATATTTACAGACTTTTCCAATGGAGATAATAATGTGCTGCCTGTTCAGCAAGCTATTAATAGATGGGAGTTCTCACTTTTCCAACACCTTTGAATGCCTTAGGTTCATGTTTGCGTTTGTGAATGATACTTGACATAGTTACTCTGTGATTAATTTCTTTTGTTGGCATCCTTCTCCCACAAATGCTGATATATTTTTCCTTGAACGAGAGATAATGTTCTTTTTAAGGGTTCTATTTTTTTATAAAAATAAAAAATAAAAAAACTGTCTTAGTATTTGGTTTTATTTTCCTAAGTGTCCAGAGGTTTACTTTGATATTGATCTGTATAACCACACTCTGGTGCTTATTAAAACATGATCCCTAACTTCATTATGTCAACATATTCTGAAAATGAGTCAAATTTCTTAAAAAAATACAATAGTTATTATTTTTCTTTTTCAAGTAATTAATATTTATATTGATGTTTTGGCAAAATTTAGTGTGAAAATCGAGGCTGAAAATTCAACTTTGGCAAGCCATTTGTTTTAATCCAACCTCATATCGTAGTGATTCTATATACATTACACTGTAATCTTTTTGTGCTCTGTTTTTGAGTTGGATCAATGCCGTTGCAGCTTCTTGTGAACCAATTGGAGCCTCTAACTGAGCAGCAGTTGGTGGCCATCTACAGCTTGCAGCAATCATCCCAACAGGCTGAAGATGCTCTTTCACAAGGGATGGATGCATTGCAGCAATCGCTGGCCGAGACTCTGGCCAATGGCTCACCCAGCCCATCAGGATCATCTGGGAATGTGGCAAACTACATGGGTCAAATGGCCATGGCAATGGGAAAGCTAGGAACTCTTGAAGGGTTCTTACGTCAGGTAATTTCATCTAAGTTTTATCATTTATGCTTTGTTTTCAGTTTGTTGATTCTTATCTGTCGGGTGATTAAATAGTGAAAAGGAAGGAAAAAGGAAGAAAATTGGGTGCCTTGAAACGGGCTTTGTTTTGAAGTAGCTCTTTTTGGATTTTACTTGCATTTAGTGACTAGAACCAGGATTTAGTTTGAGTGGGGGCAAAAAAAAAAAAATTTAATATTAAAATATTAAAAAATAAAAATATGAAATTTTTTAACTCAGAATGTTTTCGTTCAATAAATTTTTTATTGATTGTTAAATTTTACAGACCTAAAAAATTGAAGTTCTCTTTCAAAGACATTTGATAGTTTTTTTTTTCCTTGGAATATAAGAAAAAGCTTGAAACATTTAATAAAATTTATTATAATAAATGTGTTTAGAAAGAGCTTTCAAGCATTTTCTATTAAAAAAATGCATGTATGGTAAATTTTATTTTGTTGCTGTAGTTTATATAAAACATATGAAGAGAAAAACATTGAAGTTAGAAGTTTATTTGGGAAGGAAAAAAAAAAAATATGAAACAATAAAATAAAAAGTTAATTTGAAGAGGGTTAAAAGATGAGCAAAAGAATATTGGGTGATAAAGGAAATAATACATGGGTGTTAATGTCAACACATAAAATTTAGGGAAATCTGAGAAAATTTCCGTATTCAGTATGGTCATGAGCTGCCATTGGACTCTATGTGGCTCCGTCCCTGCTTGCATTTCCTAATGCCTTGATAGCAACAATGCAATAAACTTTGATGTTATATTGCATGTTGTTTGTGTTATTTTAAGTCATGTCGGGGTGTGTTTTGGAAATATGTTTACCCATTTAATCATTTTCAGAAAATGGAAAAAAATGTATTTATTATTTTTCTGGAAAATATTTTAACTAAATACAAAATTCCACCCTCTTTTCAGAAAAGGAAGCACACACACACACACACACAAAAAAAAAAAAAAAGAACCTTTGTCATAAGCGTATTAATGTTTTCGTTTTTAGAGCATTATTTTGACAATTGAAATTGATGTAGTCTCAATTCTTGATGTTAAGAGCTTAAATGCAGTTGTTGGATCTTCATCTTAAAAGTACAAATTTCAAATTTTTTTTTTCTTTAATTTATTGTATCAAATCAATTTCCTAGTCAAACCCTTATGTTATGTAGAATGACCCTTAATTTCCTGTAGGCTCAATGTTGTCAAACTGAAGTAAGCAATGAAATGGTCTTTGTAGTTTGGATGTCTTTTGGTATTCATGTCATTTTGAGGTGTCTTTCTGTTTTTGTATCTGAGATGCTGGGACAAGCTATTCCAGATCTCCATTTGACATTAAAATTCACACATAAAATTTTTATTTCTGTTTTTGTAGAATGTGGCTTGACCATAGAATACACACCAAAAATTCTTAGGTATTTAGAAAAGTTTGGAGGAAGTTTCAATTTGACCCTAAAGTCTTTGCATTGTACGGGAACTTCCTCTCAAGGTTCATTAATTTATAAAATTTGAATTTTAGATTATGTTAATACTCCTCTAATTTGTCTTTACGTTGATAATTAATGGTTTTGAGGGGATGTTTATGTACAATCTAAAAACTTTTTGGTCTAATTGATATTCTTTCTAAACCTTCTCGAAGACCTTTGCAAACTTACCCCAGATTGTTTTATAGGATATTATGATTCAAGGCACTACATTTTTTACCCAAATTGTTATACTATTTTAGGCTATTAGATCAAAGTATTGTGGATGGTTTGAAAATTGTTTAGGGTATTACCCCAAATTGTTTTCTCTTAAATTTAATTTATATAATTATTTTAGGGTATTACCCCAAATTGTTTTCTCTTAAATTTAAGGGTTTAAAAATTGGTGTAAGAATTGTATTAAAATTGAGGCTGTTCCTTGTTTCAGAACTCCTATCATGGTTCAAGGGTTGGAAGTGGAAAGAAATCCATAAAAACATGGGCAATTTGTTTCTTTTGAAACTCATGAGTCTGTCATCTCAAAATCTACTTTCTATTTCTCAAACTAAAGGAAACTGTAGTACCTGAATAAATTTCTATACTGGGCTAGATTTTGTATATGAACTGCATGGTTTGTACTTTTTTGTTCATGAACTGCATGGTCTGATTCTTTTTTGTCCGTAGTTACTTACCTGTTCATACAGAGTTCATTAGACTACTTTTCTTTCCATAGAGTGACAACGATATTCTTGGGTTTGCATTATGATACGTTGAACTCTAGTTATTGTTTATTCAAATTGATTTCTATTGGAAAAGATATCTGATTGAATGCCTTGTATATGGAGAAATCCACAAATCAACCAAGTCTAGTTATTCACTATACTGTTTTCCTTGTGTGATAGATGTAACATTTTATGTTCAGAATTTGCAAAATCTTTTAGATTATAGTGTGGCATGTCTTATACATATATGCATAAATCTGTTTCCTTATATTATTATGTGTAAAGATAAATGCGTCAGTCTCATGCACACCCAGAGACCCTGTGTCCTCTGGGATAACTATCATTTCTAATACTTAAATCTCTGGCAATTACCAGGCAGATAATCTGCGTCAGCAAACACTACAACAAATGCATCGAATATTAACGACTCGGCAATCAGCCCGTGCCCTGCTTGCAATAAATGACTATTTCTCTAGGCTTAGGGCTCTCAGTTCCCTCTGGCTGGCACGTCCACGGGAGTGAACACAGTAGGTTGGTTCTCTTGAAAGTTATGAAGAAGTTTATATGACTCCGTAGCTGATTAAATTATAACAAAGAGCTTTTGGGGGTAGCTGTAACATGGATATAGGGTGGAGCTCAGCCATTGTTGAAGTCCATTGGGAGCATATATTTACTGTATTTATAGGTTCCATCTGTAGTTATAACATGAGAAATGTTCTTTTAGGTGTTGTATGTTTATTTGTTGTATTGTAAAACAAATAGTGCTAATAATCTGAATGAAATAGAAGTGGTATATGTAACATAGGTTACAGTGTTCAATTTGTTTACCAGATTTCACATTTAATCATGGTGGAATACTTTTCCATTTTGGCTGCCTCCAGTTGGCTTGTTTCTTTTCTTCTTCAATGTTTTTCAGAATGGAAAGAGGATGAGATGATTGCCATATCTGGTCTTAATAGAATTCTGATGAACTGAAATTTAATTTATATAATTTTCAGAATATTATCTCCCCGACCAGATCATCTAATGGAAACTTAAAATGAAAATTTAAAATATTTAAGTGTATATTATTTATGAGATTATTTCACAATAATAATAGTGTAAAATGTTACTTTGGTAATATGTCAAAATTATTAACAGAATTGATGATAATATGATCATGTAAAATGGTATTTGTGTAATATATACGTACGCTTATATTGGGATGGCTAAATCTCAGCCCTCCAGTGATTTTTAGAAAAAGTGATGGTATTAGCCACCTACCTTTCATCTTTTTAGACCCCTTTCATAATTTTATTTCTGATTCCAGTTTTATCTTCTCCAGAAATTACTAAATAGGATAAACTAAAAATAATAATTACATCAAAGATATTTTATTTTAAATTATTTTGTAATGCATCTTTTATAAAATTTAGTTCAACTATAATTTTTTTCTTAATCAATATTTCCTTTTGTAATCAAATTAGTTAAAATTATCTTCAATAATTTGATAGTTGTATTGTATAAGTTGTATTTGATTTAATCTCAATGCAAGATTTTATAAAACAAAATATCATTGATTTTTATCTAAATCCACAAAAAATAAAGATTAATAAAGTATGTGATAAGTAATTATTAAATTTTTTATGAAAAATGATTGTTTTGGAAATACATGAGGTTTGTTTGGATATTTTAATCATTTTAAAAGTTTTAATGGGGTGTTTGAAGAAGTGGGGTCAAATTAGATAAAATATGGGAATTGGGTGATAAATAGCATCAATTAAATCTTTATTTATTTATTATTATTATTATTATTTTATATATATTTTGTAGAGGGTTTATGATAATTTTTAGGAGTTCAATGATATTTTTAAGAGAATGTTTTTAGTAATTTAAGAGGTATTTAATATTTTTTTTGAAAATTGTTAGCACATTTGTGAATTGATATTTTCTCATGGGGATAAAATTAACCTTATTATATTTTATGAATGATTATTACTATTTGTAATGCTTAAATGTTGGGTTATTTAAATTCAGAAAATACTCTACAAAGTCTTTATTAATCACAAATTTAAAATATTTAGATATGATTTTTTTTAAATCAACTTTTAACAATCTTTTTTTTTTTTTTAATTATTGTTTTATCCATGCAATTAACTAATTAAGTATCATGAATTGAGAGGCAAGCTAAAGTTTATGAGTTTTCTATGATTACGTGTATATTTAAATAAAATATATTAATGAATTTCTCTTGTATCATCCAAATGGTTTTGAAAAATTTAATGAGGCAAGTGTTTTATCATTTAAAAATAAAAAAATAAAAAAATTCCTGACTGTGCCCCTAGGTGGGTTGTAAAAAGAGTTAGCCAAAGCACAAAAAGTAGAAAAAAAATGTTTAAGAGTATCAAGTTTAAATTAATATTTAATTCATTTTAATTTTAAAAAATATAAAAATATAAGTTCAAAAGTAATTAAATACACTAAGAGTATCAAGTTTGATGCTAAAAATTTAAAATATAATGTTTTTAATATTAAAGTCTTATTAATTTCAATTTTAATGTTTATAGTTTCATGTATAATATTTGAGTTTTCAATATATTGTTTTAAGTTTCAAATATTATAGATACTATTTATAGGTTTTAAGTGTTTTGGTGTAAGCATCAAACTCAATGTTATAAATTTCAAGTTTTTTAGTTTATGTGCTACGTTATGAGTTTCATGTATATTATTTGGGTTTCAAGCACTACGTATAGATATTTAATGAATGTTAAAGTTTTCAGGCGTGATGTTACAAGTTTCAAAAGAAATGTTTTCTCAAATCTTTTAAATTTCAAGTTATATATTATTGGTTTTACAATTTATTTTGTAGATTTCTGTTGGAGTAAATCAATGAATGATTGATATGTTAGAGTAAATCAATGATTGATTGATATTATGTTTAATATCAATATTCTGTTACATTTTCTTGTGTGATTATGACATTATGGAAAGTATTATATTTCTTTTTTATTCTTTTACACTTTAGTATAAAAAGACAATGTATACTTATACAAAACACACAATTGAGTGGAAAACTATTCTTCTCCATTCTTTCTCTCTGACATACTCAGGCAATCTCTGCTTACTCTCTCTTGCCTCTCTTGCCTTATTCTGACATGATATCAGAGTTTATAGGTTGAATCAGCTTCCGCTCATCTAGCCTCTCTTTTGGTCCCTACAATTCAAATAGATACTCAGTTAATTTTTTTTTTACCAAGCTTCCGCTAGTCTCCAAGCTCTACCAACCCACTCTAGCCTAACTTTATGATAGTGAGTAGCTAGTTATATGGTTATATGCATGTCTAGGAAAATTCTTTAACAGGATGATAAAAGTCTAATGAGACTGGGTTTTAAGTGGGACCGTTATTTACCCCTCAAGTTTTTCTTGAGAATTTTTCTGGTGCATATTAAATCATTTTTAGTACTTACTACTATTCTAAGTTATTAAATTGTTCCACCCACTCTAGCCTTAAGTTTTGCTAAGTTCCTGCAAAACCACATTGACACAATGACACTTGGGTGCAAGAGTTAGTTTATTTTTAAATTGAATTCATCTTTTAGAATGGATCAATTTGACAAGAATATCAACACACAAAATGATTTTCTTTTATATAGGGACATAGATGGCCAAGATGTGTCCAAGCAACATGACGGCCAAAAGGCCATCTCTCTCTTGCGATCATCCAACGACTCTTATGACGCCATGTCACGCAACTGGGCCTAATGCAAATGGATCCAATGATAATTGGTACAATGGGCCAGGATCAAAGAATAATAAAGGGGAAAGCAAACGGAGAAACCATACCCAGGAAACCTATTGGAAATTACATGGGCGACCCAATATGTCCAACAAGGATAAAACTAGAAATCCTCTAGTTTATCATGCAGTCACGAATATCCCTTCAAGAAATCAAATTTCACTACCTCTTCTTAGCACAGAACAATACAATCAACTGATTCAGATATTAAATCACATTCCACAGGCAAATACCTTGGCATCCTACGTAGGTACATCTTTTTGTCTAAATTCTTTTTCAAATAATATTTGGATAATTGGCTTAGGGGCAAGTGACTATATTGTTTGCAACCCGAATTTTTTCCCTACAACCACTAAACCCATCAAACCATCTACATCCGTACGCATGCCAAACGATAATAGTGCTTCAGCCTTTCATATAGGGAATGTCTGTCTCTTAGAATAGTTAATCCTTAAAAATGTCCTTTTTGTCTTTGCCTTTCATTGTAATTTTATTTCCGTGTTAAAAATTTGCTCCGATAGTAGATGTGTTTTAAATTTCCTTCCTACTACATGTTCATTTCAAGACCCTTTGACTAGGAAACTGATGGGCTTGGGTAGGGCCCATCATGGTCTATACTACTAGACACCTGGTTGATTTTCTGAAGTTTTTCCAGAGTCTAACAATTGTATTACACAAAATAAAAATCCTCATTGTACTATAAATATCAATAAAATTTATTTATTTTCCATCAAAGATAGGGTCATAGTACATCTATTCCTCATCCTAAATGTCTGATATGTCTCATTGTAAAATAATCACGTACCTGTTTTCCTACAAGTACGACTTCCACTACCCATCCTTTTGCCTTAGTTAATCTTGATATTTGGGGACTGTATCATACTCCAAATCGCAATAGTTGATGATTTTTCCCAGGGAACATGGGTATTTCTTATGCAATTCAAAACTCAAACCCTTACCCATATCTATAATTTCCTATCCATGGTACAAACACAGTTTTGCACAACAGTGCAACGTATCAAACCCGATAATGTCCGTGACTTTTTAATACTCAATGCTCCTCTTTATTCCTTTCCCTTAAAATTCTTCATGAGAGTTCTTGCATTTATACCCTACAACAAAACGAGATAGTAGAATGGGAACATCATCACTTGCTAGAAGTGGCGTGAGCCTTCAAACACCAAGCCTAAATTCCCATATATTTTTGGGGAGAATGTGTGGTCACTACTGCCTACCTAGTCAATCACATGCCCACCCAAGTGCTTGGAGGAAAGACACCTCATGAAGTTCTCTTTATCAAGTCTCCTAACACCAGCCATCTCCGTGTTTTTGGTTGCCTTTATTACCATGCTATTATTAGTTCTCATGACAAATTTGGCCCTCGGGCTACTCGTTGTATATTTATGGGGTATCCCATGCTTTAGAAGGGTTATCAGTTATATGATCCAAATACTAGCAGATTCTTCATTTCTCGAGATGTTACCTTTTATGAAGATGTGTTTCCCTTTAAAGACACCAACCCCTGCCAATCAACTCAAAACATTTGTCTGCATTCATGGATGATGATTTCTCACCATCTCTACCAGGACCTTGTCTTACCATGGTACATGTTCCTAGCCCACCAACTCCATTAGATTCAAGATCTCTAGATATCTATACTGACTCTCCTCCAGTCCTTGTTGATATACCAATGGACTCCTCTTCTGATGAAAATCCTTCGACTTTGCCTCCTGTCATCCTTTCTAAAGAAACAGTTCTCTTATGGCGATCCTCCCGTCGCATTCGACCTCCTATTTGGACAACTAATTATGTATGTCCCACCATTCCAAAGTCCTTAGGTACTACTTATCCAACCTCCAATAATGTCCATTTTGACCAATTGTCTCCTGCACATTGGATTTGTGTTGGCCAGATTTCTACTAATCGGGAGCCCTCTTGTTACTCTAATGTTGTTCAACACTCTCATTGGCATCAAGCTATGACTACTAAACTTAATGCCATAGCTAGTAATCGTACATGAGATTTAGTTCCTCGTTCTTCTCATCAGAATCTTATTCGCAGTAAATGGGTTTACAAAATCAAATACTGCACTGATGGTACTGTTGAAAGATACAAAACCCGTCTTGTTGCCAAGGGCTTTACTCAACGAGAAGGCTTCGATTACCAAGAGTCTTTTTTACCCATTGCCAAGCATGTCACTGTGCGAGCCTTTCTCTTTGTTGGCTTTGCCTGAGACTGGCCACTACGCCAAATGGATGTTCATAATGCTTTCTTCATGGGGATTTTCATGAGGATATTTTTTTTGAATCTCCACCGGGTCTTCGCAGACAGGGGGAGAATACAATTTTTCATTTGTGAAAATCATTATATGGCTTAAAATAGGAATCTCAACAATGGAATGAGAAATTTATTGAGGCACTCACAAGCATATGATTCAAACAATCTAAACACTATTATGCTCTTTTCTCTTGGCAGCAAGGTAATTCTTTCATCACTTTCATAATTTATGTCGATGATATCTTTATCACAAAAAACAATAAGACAACCATTAAAGCACTAAAAGATCATGTGAACAAGCAATTTTGAATCAAAGATTTGGAGGAGCCAAAATATTTTATGAGAATTAAAATGGTTAGATCCCCAGTTGGTATATCCCTCAATTAGCGCAAATATGTCCTGAAACTCATATCAGATTTTGGATTATCAGCTTGTAAGCTGAATATTGTGCCTGTTGAGCAAAATACTAAACTCACCACTCGAGAATATGACAATGGGATATCATCATTAGAAGTTGATCCACCTATAAAAGATCCCTCACATTATCAAAGACTTGTGGGACGACTCATCTACCTTACAATGACATGACCAGATATCAGCTATACAGTTCACATCCTCAATCAATCCATGCATGTGCCAAAACAATCCCATATGGATGCAACAATGAAGGTTCTCAGATATTTGAAAGGATGTCCTGGCCCCGAGATGAAAACTTGAGTATTACTGCACGTTGCGACTCAGATTGGGCTACATGTCCAATGATGAGGAAATCCCTTACCGGTTTCTGTGTTAAACTTGAAGGATCACTCATCTCATGGAAGACAAAGAAGCAGTCAACAGTCTTACTTTCGTCAATAGAAGCTTAATACAAAGCCATGTCCAAGACCACGTGTGAGATTATCTGGATTTTTGGGCTTTTAAAGGATCTAAAAGTACAAGTAATATGTAGCAGACAACATTCACATCTACTACAAAAGCTTAGAGTTTATGACATATACAAACCATAAGCTTAAGGAGGAGCATTGGAGTGAATCATGGAATGATTGATATGTTTGAGTAAATAAAGGATTGATTGATATTATGTTTAATATCAATATTCCATTACCTTTTCTTGTGTGATTATGACATTATGGAAAACATTGTATTTCCTTTTTATTCCTTTACACTTTAGTATAAATAGACAATGTATGCTTGTACAAAACACACAATTGAATAGAAAACTATTCTTCTTCATTCTTTCTCTATGGCATACTCAGGCAATCTCTGTTTAGTCTTCTCTTGCCTCTCTTGCCTTATTCAGACAGTTTCATGTATAATATATTAGTTTTAAAGTATAATTTATAGTTTTTTCAAATTCATGTTAAAGTTTCAAGCGTAGCAATACCAATTTCAAACATAACATCATTCGTGTCAAGTCCTTCAAATATCAAGTTTTATGTTATAAATTTCAATAGCATTGTTTTTTGTCTAAAGTATTTTTTTTATAGGTTTCAAATCTATGTTGAGGGCTTTTAACTGTAATATTGTTAATTTCAAATCCAATGTTCTAGGTACCAAGTCATTTTGGTTTCAATGTTAATAATTAGAAGTTTTATATCATGATTTTCCAATTTTATTTATATGTTTCAATATCGAGTTAAATGTTTCAATTCTATTGTAATTGGTACCAAATCTTATTGGTTTCAAATATAATGTTATTTATTTCCTGTTTTACTTATCATATTTCAATTAAATTGTTTCAAGTTTCAAATATATTTTCTAAAAATATACATATTGTTGTAAAATATGTGGCTTTCAAACCATTTGCCACCTTGCTTATCAAATGGACACATAGCCCATGCAAGTTCACACGAAGACACATAACCCATGATCTGTCATTGGATAACTGCTATTTATGGGAGGTGGATTGTTGAGGAAAGACTATAAATATAGCTGATTTCCTTCATTTTAGACAAAACTCAATTGAGAGGAGTTAATAATAACCTCTTATTTCAACCCTCTTTGTTCTGCTCTTTAACTTTTCAGTCTCTCTTAGTTTATTTTTGCAATCACACCACTAAAATTATAACACATTATCAGTACGAGGAGCTCAATAAGTGTAAAGGTTTTATTCATTCATTTTATTATACACTATAAAAAAAAACTAACATTATGAGTGTGCTCTATGGTTGCCGTAAAATGAACTTCCATATCAGAAAAAAAAACAATTAGTTCCTAACAGTAATATATTTGCTATAATTGTTTCTTGAACTAATCAATTGACTTTATTTCTTTATACGTATTGATAATGCTGTTACGTTTTGCTATTAATGACTAAATTGCATTACGCATTTATTTTTCTGAGTTGTATTATTTATTTGAAGACACCTAAAATTATGGCAACTTGAAGTTTTGTAAATAGAAATGATAAATGAACCCGGAGTTCCAAGAATCAGTCCCCAATCATGAACTTAAAGTTTTGAATTAAAATTTTGATTTTTAGCTTACAATTTGAAGTTTCAAATGTCAGAACTTGAAGTCATGAGTTGTGATTTTGATTTATGGATTCAAAACCTGAGGTTCTAAGATTATTTTATCAAAACTTGAAGTTCTGACTATGATTATTACTTTCCTTTTATTGCACGCAATTTATTGTTATTATTGTCATTTTATTATTCTTTACTTTTTATGCAATTTATTGTTCCTTTACAATTATCGCATTTTATATTTATATTTTTATTGTTGCTTTGGGATGCCAGAATACATCCTATGACATGCATCTAGGAGATGCACATTCAGGAAAGAAAATTACTTATCCTTGTAGGATAAAGTAAAATCCTAAGCTACACAATATTCTAAGGAACTCGAAGTTCTAATATAATTCTTTTACCTTAATACATGAAGCTTTAAAGCTTTTTCTGAGATTAATAAATGATCTATTTATATGTCAAACTAACATGTACACTAATTACGTAACTGTTTTTGGAAATGTCGAACCTTATGAAGTTTCAGTATGATGCCCCGAGACTAGATGGAAAGAAGTATGTTGAATGGGCTCTGGACACTATTCTCCACCTAGAATCTGTGAACCTAGGTGAAGTGATTGAGGGAGGAAATACAACGTCCGTACAGGACAAAGCGAAAGCAACTATTTTCCTTCAACATCATATCCAAAAACGATTATGAGCTGAGTATGTGGATATAAAAGATCCACTTCAATTATGGATTAATTTGAAAGAGAGATTTGAACATAACAAACAATAATACTCCCAATGGCTCAATATGATTGGACTCATTTGCGTCTACAGGATTATAAGTTTTTCAATGAGTATAATTCTACTTTGTTTAGAATTGTTTCTAAATTGAAATTGTGGAGAAATAATATTTGAAGAAAATATGTTAGAAAAAACATTATCCATTTTCCACCCTTGTAATATGCTCCTGCAGTAGCAATGTCGAGAACACGACTTTAAAAAGTATTCTGAATTAATTTCTTGTTTGCTTGTTGCTGAGAAACCATCACACTCATCTAACTGGAGCTCAACCGTTCTTGACGTGAACGTGGCTACTAGTGTCGTATGCATGGGTGTGGCCGAGGCTGTGGGCGAAACAATTTTTGACCAAGAGGTGGTCATACTATGAAGTTTTAGTCAAACCACCATAAGTGGAACAAAGCTAAACCAAAGCATGAGAAAAGAAATAACGCAAGAACAAGATTATGAAAGATAATTGTTATGCCCGGGAAAATAAAGGGCTGACGTGGGAAAGTCACGTGAAGGGTGACCTGCTCCCGTCAGAGCAACACGTATACGTCAGACCTGCTAAATGATATGGAGCTCACACGTGTCCATTTCCCTGCCATAAGTCGTGCGAAGTCAGCTTGGGAAAGGGAAAATGGGACATAAAGCCGGATTATATCCTGACAATCACACCAAATCATGGATTCAATGATGATTACACGCTTCAGTTTGATATAAAATGAAGAAGACCCATTCGTTAAGGGGATTCGACCATTTTTTCATACTAAGAAATACTCTCTCTCTCTCCTGTAAACACATTTTGCTTTTTCCAACTCTTTTGTAAGTCAGTCCGCAGTTGCGACCTGACCCACACTAATATCAATACAATCAGTGGACGTAGGACTTGCTACCTTAGCATCCGAACCACTTAAAAAACCCCCTTTGCATTTATTTCACTTTAGATATTCCACTTTCACGTGTATTTAACAGCCAATCAACGTTACGCACGTGACAATTCGTTGGTGCCAAAAACGAGCATCAACAGTTTGGCGCTAGAAGGAGGGCTGATTTAGTGTCTACCCTTCATCAGGAGAATCTTTGACCTACTGGTCTTACAGCTACAATCGCCCGCCAATCTGAACCTGAGCAAGGGAACCAACACGCTGAAGGAGTCCCCCCAGCCCAGAGGGACACCCCTTCCAACATACCTCCAGTTTCGCAAAATGCTGTTGGGAATACCCTAGCAGCTCCGCAACTGGACCCTGCCATCAAAAGCTACCTGGAGAGGTTCGACAATACTCTCCAGACGGTCAACCAGAGGTTGGACCGTCTGGACCAAGGCATGTCATCCACGACAGCCGGAGCGGTACAACCGCCAAGAACGCCTGCAGGTCGCGCGAAAGCGAGGCAAAGGGCGATAGCCCGTGCCGCGAGCACTGCAGCGCGTAAGCGCAAGGGTAAGCAAGTGGCAAAAAATAAGCCTACGGGCTCCCAAGGGCCGACGAATACAAAAGGTGCCCCGAGCAGGGTATCGGCAAAGCTGAGACTCGGTGAAAAAGTAAATCCCGAGCTGTCCCATGCCACGTCGCAAACAAACCCGAACGAAAATGCTGAGCGCGATGATTCCGATCACCACCAGCAGAATGATCCCGATCGTTCTCATGCGGGTGGCCTCCACACCTCGCGGGGCGGTTCATACCACCGCGAGGGTCGTGAAAATGCCCCGCACAATACATCGCCTTCACACGCCTCTAGTCAGCGTGTATCGAGCGTGGCTGGAAATACCGGCCGAGGCAAGGAGGGATCCGACCTCCGAACTCTCCTGAACCGCAACCGGGAAGGCCGGGCTCGCATGGGTGAAAACAACCCAGGTATGGCTCCGTTACCACAAATTGAGGAGCTGCAGCGAGCTTTGGACAGGTTACGGGAGCAGCGAAACACACAGGCGCAGGTCGCCTCTACATCCCTATTTTCTCCTGAAGTGCTAGCTGCTCCACTTCCACCAGGGTTCAGAATGCCAGATATGCGGCCGTTTGATGGAAACTATGATCCGCAGGATCATTTATATGAGTTCAACGACCTGATGGAGCTCCACCAGGTTTCGGACCTTGCGAAATGCTGTTGTTTGGCCGTGACGCTGACTTCTCACGCCAAACGGTGGTTAAGGTCGCTCCCAGCGGGATTGATCAGTTCGTGGCCTCAGATGAGCACGACGTTCCTGCGGCATTTCCAAGCCAACCGGAAATTTTCAATGCCTTTGAGCTACCTTAGCAATATAAGGCAAGAAAGAGACAATCCCTGCAGTCTTACATTGATCGCTTCCACAGGGAGCTCAACAAAGTGGCTCACGCTCCAGAAGAGTCCATCCGAACTCTTATAATAGCTGGAGTTCGCCCGCAAACTGACCTGTGGAAAGAACTACAGGCTGAGGACGATATTTCCCTCACCAGATTCTACAACCTAGCAGAAAAGTATCTCCGAATAGAGAATTCGCTGGCGGCACTCCGCCGTCGCGATCACGACACTTCCAGCAGTACGCCTGGTCGGGGAGATAATAGGCGAGCTGATCGCAAAGGAGACAATGACGATCAGCGAAAAGGGAAGAAACCCCGTTACGAGCAGAAAAAGTCCTATGCTCCTGTTCCACGCCGTGACCGCGACGGGGCTCAATATACTCCGCTGAATGTGTCCATATCAGCAATCCTTGATAAGTCCGAGGAGGCCAGCCTACTCGGTGAACCCAAACCCATGAAAACCCCTGCTACGGCCAGAAACAGTAAAAAATACTGCCGTTACCATCAGGATAATGGGCACCTCACCGATGAGTGCCGAGCTCTAAAGCAGGCTATCGAAGAGCTCATCAAGAAGGGGCACTTCAAGGAGTACATTGATGGCTCCCCAAAAGAAAACCAAGGGGAGCGAAAGAAAAAGCGCCGTGATCACAATGGGTACGATAGTGTTAACATAATTTTCGGAGGTCCGCACCTCGCGGGAAACACGCGAGGAGCGCAGGAAAGATATGCTCGCGAAGCGCACCACGACCCGATTAGGGTAATGAACACTTCGCAGCGACCTCAAAAAGCCCGAAAAGAGGAACCAATCACCTTTTGTGAGAAAGAGGCAGCTCGCTTGCACCATCCTCACGAGGATGCTCTGGTGATCACCCCCCTGATAGGGTGTCATAATGTCTGCAGAATTCTTGTGGACAACGGAAGCGCTGTGAACATTCTGTTCAAGTCCACTTTCGATAGAATGAACCTGGTCGAGGCCGACCTGAAGCCAGCCTCGATGCCTCTGTACGGTTTTACAGGGGATCACCTGATCCCCAACGGAACAATCCAGCTCCCAGTCACACTCGGTGACTACGACGAGGTGACTAGGGTTATAGAATTCTTGGTCGTGGACTGCCCATCGGCCTTCAATGGAATCTTAGGGCGACCTCTACTGAGAACTTTCAGGGCAGTCACTTCCATTTACCATCTCAAGATGAAGTTCCCCACTCCAACGGGGATAGGGGAGCTAAGCGGATCACAAAGCGCATCTCGCGAATGCTATATAAAATCAGTCCAGATGGCCGACAAAGGAAAGGGCATTTCGCGGTGTGCACCTCGCCAAGCTATGGCGATCAGTCGGATCGAGCCACAGCCTGGTCCGGCGGAGGATAATATAGATCCGCGAATTCAGAAAACTCCCCCGAGCGGCCCGGTTGAGGATCTGTCCGAAGTTTCGGTTGATCCAAAACAGCCGAGCCGAATGCTAAAGATCGGAAGCTGTCTCAACCCTCAGCTCGCTTCCGAGCTGGTAAGCTTCTTGAAGGAGAACATTGATGTGTTCGCCTGGTCACATGCAGATATGGTCAGGATCAGCCCGAACGTTATTTGCCATTCACTGAACGTCAGCGGTGAAGCTAAGCCAGTTCGCCAAAAGAGAAGGGCAATGGATCCGGAGCGGTACGCCGCATTAAAATCAGAAGTGGAGAACCTTCTCCTCAATGGATCTATTCGCGAGGCTCTCTACCCGACCTGGGTTGCTAACCCGGTCTTGGTTAAGAAGCCAAATGGCAAGTGGCGGACCTGCGTAGACTTCAGCGATCTGAATAAAGCTTGCCCGAAAGACAGCTTCCCCCTTCCAAGTATTGACCAGCTCGTTGATGCCACCTCGGGGCACGAGCTGTTAAGCTTCATGGATGCATACTCGGGATACAACCAAATCCCGATGTATAAGCCAGATGAGGAACATACGACCTTCATTACGGACCGGGGGCTGTACTGTTATAAAGTCATGCCCTTCGGCCTCAAGAATGCGGGCGTAGATGGACCCGATTGCCCAGTCCGCGGCCTTCTCCTCCATCTCCTCAGACTGATTTTGCATTTCTACAGTCAGAGAAGTGACTCTCTCCCGACTCTCCTGAAGCTCGGCCTCAAGAGCTAGCCTTTCCTGTTCGGAGGCCCCCCTGTCTTCTTCAGCTCGCTGAACCCGTGCGAAGGTCGCCTGGAGCTCCTGGTCCTTCTCGCCGATCTCCCTAGAGAGCCTGGCGGTTGTCCTTTGAAGTTCCTTGACTTCCTCCGCACGTCGATCTAGCTCCGCCTTCTGGAAGTCCACTGTTCGTAAAGCAGCGTCCTTTTGGTTCAGATACCTGTTCGCTGCTTCGAACGCTTGAGTTCTTTCCGCTTCAACGGACTCCAAGCTCTGCTTCAGCTTTGCGATCTCTTCCTGCAGGTCGCTTGTCCCCTTGGCGGCCCCCAGCCGCGTCTTTTCCATGGACATCCTCATCGCGAGCAACGCCTGCGAGCAAGATATGAGTTAGAAATAAACCAGAATGAAATTTCAAGTACGGCTCGTTTACCTTGCTCAGATGCTGGAACGACGTGGTCATCAGGTCGTCGCCCGTGTCGGCAAACTCGTCATATGACTCCGACAGCTCGCACTCGAGCAGGCCATAGACAATTGGCTGCAGGTACTCGGGCAGACTCCCCAGTGAGTCTAGAACAGGCGCGCCCTTCGCCTTGTCACCAGTCACTGTCTCGCTCGTGGGCTCCTTGCCCGACCTCCTGGATTCCTGGCGCGACCTCAGAGGCTCTCCCTCAGATTCAGTCTCCGACTCTTCGGGCTGAATCTGCTTCCTCTTCTTCGACCTCGGAGCTGGAGCCTTCCGCTTTGGGCGAGCAGTTGGCGCCTGAGCAGCCTGTTTCGTCCTGGTCACTCCTTGCACAGGATGGGGCTGGGAAGCCGGGACTGTTCGCACCGGCTGTGCCGAGATTGGACGAGCAGCTTCAGCCGCCCTTTCACTCCTCGATCTAGGAAAGACGAATGGTGCTCGGCGGGGCTGCCCGGACTCCTTTGGAGGCATCGTTCCTGCATTTAAGTTCGTTAGTAAACGAAATCATTCTACGACCAGAAAGGAACCAGTATAATTTACCTTCTGGGGGTTCTAAAGACGCCTTGTCGCTGAAGAACCCGTACTTTTGCAAGTTCGCGGTCGTCACAAGCTTCCTCACGTCCCGGCTCTCTTCGTCCAGTACTCCAAAGGATACGAGCCTGTTTGGGTCGGCGAGTAAGTCTTGGCTGGTCGTTCTGTTAATTGCAAAAGAAAACAGGTCGTTACTAATGATCACGCGAGCAGATAACGAACCCAGCGAAAGGAAACCTACTTGGGTCTTGAAAACGGCAGTAGCCGTCTTAAAAGAAAAAGAAGAATTTTGTCTCGTAAGCCCCCGCATTGCTGGGATAGCTATGTATCCCCGCGACAATGGTAGGTCGCCGAGACAGATAGTACGAGTCCTTGTCCCTACTCTTCTTCAGGTAGTAGGCAACGCCGAGCTCCACCGCCGTTGGCTCTCCCAAGCCGTTCTCGCAACACGCGATGTACATCGCGACCGCGATGACATACGCATTTGGCGTCAACTGCATTGGTGCGATCCCGAAATGCTCCAAGACCGACCTGATGAAAGGATGGAAGGGAATCCTCCCTCCACCCTTGAAGATCTCTTCAGAGATCGCGGCAAGGCCATCAGCCGGGCGCCGTGACGGCCTAGTGTGGTCGAGGAACACCTCCGTGCGGATGTCGAACTGCCTCTTTATTCTAGCATATTCGTCGGAGGTGAGAACCGAGTAGACATCGAGAGCTGCGTCCTCGGGAGCTCCCCGCGAGGACGAGCTGGCTCCTTCCTCAGGTCTGGATGTTGACGGTTCCATTCCAGTCTGCAACATCGACAGACACGGTCATTTAGGCCTTCATGCTTGTCCCGTGCGGCGGCAGGGGACAAACTCTTAAACCCTAATAGTAACTCGAGCCGCCGTACACGGCTCAAATCCAATGACGGCGTCACGTCCCTGGTGAAACACCGGGAGACCCGACGCCATCGCCCAATCAAGCGAATGCGAAAAAAAAAGAGGGGGGAGAAGAAAATCTTACCTTCTGCGGTGAGTAACCGAGACCGAGGCTCGTTTCAGTTGCTTGAGAGGTGCTGATCGGAAAAGAATGGTTTCTGGTTTGTAAAGGGCTGTCACTCGAAGCAAAAGAAATTTCGTTGACCCCATCTGAAAAATGCGAGTTTTTATATGGGTTACGAATCGACGGTTACCACCCCTCGGAACCGAAACGACAGCCCACTCTCTCTCCCCGCATTAAATGCGCCCCACGTCACATTAAATGCCGTGATAATAGCCGTCGTTTCGAACGCGCTGCGCAACTAATGCTGTCAAAATGATGTCGGGTCAGCACACAATGCATTTAATGTGTCTGACAAACGCTTCAGCGCGTGCAGAGCACCTGACAGTGCAGGACCTGGTTCATTGAATTTCTAAGGCACAGAAGGGAGCGTCCATCGGATCCAGCTCGCTGAGATGAAGATTTTCAGGTCGCTTAGGCAGGGGATTGCGCGAGATCGTGTTCGCCAAAAGTCCTGTGCCGAGCTCATCCCATACAGGTCGGAGCGACCAAATCCTCCAATATGACTTAGTTTCCAAGGTTCGATCCTCAAACCTTAAAAACTAGGGGGCTTCTGTTATTGCCCGGGAAAATAAAGGGCTGACGGGAAAGCACGTGAAGGGTGACCTGCTCCCGTCAGAGCAACACGCACACGTCAGACGCTAAATGATATGGAGCTCACACGGTCCATTTCCCTGCCATAAGTCGTGCGAAGTCAGCTTGGGAAAGGGAAAATGGGACATAAAGCCGGATTATATCCTGACAATCACACCAAATCATGGATTAATGATGATTACAAGCTTCAGTTTGATTAAAATGAAGGAAGACCCATTCGTTAAGGGGATTCGACCATTTTTTCATACTAAGAAATACTCTCTCTCTCTCCTGTAAACACATTTTGCTTTTTCCAACTCTTTTGTAAGTCAGTCCGCAGTTGCGACCTGACCCACACTAATATCAATACAATCAGTGGACGTAGGACTTGCTACCTTAGCATCCGAACCACTTAAAAAACCCCCTTTGCATTTATTTCACTTTAGATATTCCACTTTCACGTGTATTTAACAGCCAATCAACGTTACGCACGTGACAATTCGTTGGTGCCAAAAACGAGCATCAACAATAATGAAAGCAAGGGTGTACCTATATGCCTTGGGTTCATGAGTATAGACTTAAGCAAGTTAAGCTAGTACTAATTATCTATTTCTCTTGATAATTTTTTTTTAATCATAAATATTTGTTTAAAGAATTTTAAGAGAAATATTTTTGGTTTCTTTTATTTTTTATATTTTTTATTTTTGCAAAAGTTATGTGTCAACCATTAATTGAGTGTCAATGAATATGTTTTCGGTTAATTGTACTTAATAATAAAATTACAAAAATGGCGTTATTCGTTTTTAACTTGGGAGTTGCTATTCTTACAAAGAAGCCTACAAAGGAGGCATACAAAGTTAATCTCCACCCTTCATCTTCATCATTTCTCTCTCTCTCTCTTTCTCTTTTTCCATTTTTCTTTTGTTTTTTCCTTCACTTTGTAAACTTCTTTGTAAGGATAGATTTATCCTTTTAACTTTAGTTATTTCCTACAATTAAATGATCATTTTCTCATATATAAAAGACATTTTTCTCCCAAATGGTTTTTCTATGAGACAACTTAAAGTTCATATAGCGTTGTAACCATACAAATAGATTTAGGTTTAATTATATATTGTAACTTTGACATAGATTTTAGTAAAATGATATGAATTTATTGGGTGGTGAAAAGGTGTTAAATGGTTGCTCCAAGCTTTATGTTCTCATAAATGAAACTTCGACGTATAATTACCAATTGATTTCTTTTAAAGTAAAATATATTTGATTTTTTTTTCCTGAAAGTTGAATGCATTTGTTATTTTAATGTGTTTTTAATATATAAGTCTATTTGATATAAGTCTATTTTTTAATATTTAATTATAAGTCTTGAGTTATTTGTTTTTATATATGATAATCATCTTAAAACCAGTATTTTGACATATATGTGCTTATTAAATATTATATAATTCTATATTTTACATGCTGTAAACAATTTTAAATAATTAAATTACGAAAATCAAAAGAAAAAATTGTAATTAAAAATAACCATGTTATTATTTTGATTTGATATAATACTTAAGAATTTATTATAACAAAAAAATTATAAAAAAAGACCAAAAGTATACAATGTATAGGAATTTTGTTAAAATTAAAATTATATAAATTTGATAGGGTATTATTGATAAAAAAATATAAATTAAGATGTGTTTGTATTCATATAGAAGCTAAATAATTTTTTTTTTTTTTTTTTTGTTTATATTTGATAAATAAATATAGTTCTAAAAAATAAAGAAACTTGTTAGGGCTAAAAAATGCCTCGGCCCAGGTAGGCTCGAAGACGAAGACACCTTTAACAAAACTGAAAAGCTCGGGCCCAATTCCGATGAGGCCCAACTCAAAGTTCCACAAATGAAGCCCGTCTGGCGCTTCTTCCTAGTCCTTACCATCTGGATCTAGGCCTTTTGATCCTAGTACACCTTCTGGACTTCCAATCAACTTGGAATCCATAGTCACCTACGAATGACAATACTACTTGAACTATACTAAGGAAGTCAAAGGCTATCCCAATTCGTCTAAGGTTCGTATCCTAAGCATACTGGGACTCCCTTTCCTACAGAGATAGGGAAGCCAAAGGCTCCACTCTTTGAGAAGACCACCGCTGCAAGGACTCCCAGTCCTACCAGGATTCGGAGAGCATGCAGTCACTATTTAAGCAGAGGTCAGCCCTCTCACAAAGGACAGAGACATTACACCTTCAGACCCTGAAGTTCCTACTTGAGAACTTCACATTACAGCCGTAGTCACAGTCCCTCACTAGACTTCCTGTAACCTTTCCTCTCCCTAACCCTCACTAAACTGGCCTCACTCAGCCTTGCTGACTTGAGCATTGGAGTGCCTACGGCAAAGACCACCCTAGTGTTTTCTGTCTGCTTCATGCTTGTTTTCTCATGTGTGCAGGTGCAGCAGATCGCTAGTGGCCTCAACCCTACGGGATCAGTCCCTCTTTTTGTAAAGGAGATTTTTGCATCTACAGTTTGACGCCAACCGTGGGCCCTCTAGCAATCATTCATCTCACAAACCCTGCTACGTGAAGAAACTTTCCATGGCTGATATTCTGATAGCACTAATCCTGGCCTCGAGGCCAAACTGGAGGCTCTAACCACCCTCATGCAACAGTACTTAGACAAGGTGGCTGCACTGGAACCTGAGAACACTGCCATCCTGACCGAAAACACCTCCATCAGGGTCGAGAACCAATCTCTAAAAGAGAAGGTAAGTCAGTTTTATGATCTTGAGCTTCTGCCTTGTCAGATACAACCCAATTGGTTTCGCGCCTCGGTTCCGTCTATGTAACCTCTCCAGACTCCAGAGCACGGACCCGCAATCTCGGATACGAGGTCGCGCCAGCTATGTTCGTCATTAGTTGACGATTTAGCCATGACTAATAAGGAACGGCGGCCGCTGATAGAGCCACTTTCGGTCGATCCGCTTCAGGCACGAGATCAAGGCATCCAAGTGACAAAAAGCCCACCACAACAAGAACCACACATCCTCGCCATCCCATCCCACCTTCAGTTAGTCAACCCTACCCAAACTTCACCTGGCTTGGCTCATCCTTGCAGGTCGAGCGATCCCCCACTCCTTCAAACTACCCCGCTCGAGTCCATCCATCCCAATGGGCCGAACGAATCCCAAATAACACCTCTTACAATCCATGTGGGGCGAAACACCGGATCGGTCACGAGGGGAGTCATCCAACCAGAGGGAATGAATGAGGATCAAAGCTACCAAGCGGCGTATAACGGAGTGATCCGTCAGACTACACCACGCGGATTGACCCACCAAAA